CTGACTCTGGGGGTGCTCGTCCCGGTCCCCCTGAGGGTGGTCCCTCTGGGGGTGCGGGTGTGGAGCGTGCCGGTGGTAGCCGAGGAGCAGCTTGCGGTCCAGGTGTCGCCGTTGTGCCGCCGCAGCAGCAGTCCCCGCCGGTGTCCGCCCTTCGCCTGCTCGGCCTTCCGTCCCCCGACCCTGCGTCGGTTCCTCCCCGACCGTCTCCTCCTCTTCCTGTCTACGGCCCTGTTTTCCCTCCGCCGGACTCGTCCCCGGCCCGTCTCCCCCCTCGTTCACCTCCTGTGTCCCCTCCCCTGTCTCCTGACCCGACTCCTCCATCGCACGTCTGGTCTCACCGTCCCTCCCGTGCTCGTCCTGCCTCGCCTGTCCTGCGCTCCCACCCTATGTTGCTTCGTTCACACGCGTCTCGTCCTCCCCTTCTGCCGTCGCCTCCTCCGTCCTCCCTTGTTGTTGCGCCTCCCCCGCTGTCCGACTACCTTCGTGCCGCTCGTCCTCTCGTTCCTCGGGTCCTTGCCTCTCTCGTTACCGACCCGTCTGTTCCGGTCTCGTGCCTTGACGCTCTTGTCGCTGCTGTCGCTGACTTCGCCTCTACCCACCGCCTTGACTACGCCACCGCTCTGGTCTCTGACCCTGCCTGTCCTCCGTCTGTCGGGGGTGCTCCTGCCCTTGGCAGTGACGTCCTGGAGGACCGCCAGTTCGAGCTTGCTTTCCTCTCCGAGGCTGCTCCCCATCTCTGTTCCATGCTGCTAGTCCCTGAGGGTGACCCAGACGCTTTCGACATCCCGACCCCTCGCACTTACGCTGAGGCGACTTCGGGACCCTGGGCCTCGCAGTGGATAGCTGCCATGGAGCAGGAGATGGCATCTTGGAGATCCACCGGCACCTTCGTCGACGCAGTTCCCCCACCTGGGGTGAACGTAGTCGATGGCCGCTGGCTCTTCAAGGTGAAGCGCCCTCCTGGAGAGCCGCCTGTCTTCAAGGCGCGCTATGTGGCTAGAGGCTTCAGTCAGCGCGAGGGCGTGGACTTCTTCCAGACTTTCGCTCCGACCCCGAAGATGACTACTCTTCGGGTTCTGTTACACCTAGCTGCTCAGCGTGACTACGAGCTTCACTCTCTCGACTTCTCCACTGCCTTCCTTCAGGGCAGCCTACACGAGCAGGTCTACCTGCGCCGCCCTCCGGGCTTTACTGGCACCTTCCCTCCTGGGACCCAGTGGCTCCTGCGGCGCCCCGTCTACGGCCTGCGCCAGGCTCCCCGTGAGTGGCACGACACTCTGCGTGCTACGCTTGCTGACCTGCAGTTCTTTCCGTCTTCTGCAGACCCTTCACTCTTCGTTCGTGCTGGCCAGACTCCGTTCTACATCCTCGTCTACGTCGACGACCTGGTCTTTGCCACAGCAGACAGGGACGCGCTGGCCTCCGTGAAGGCAGAGCTGCTGAAGAGACACACATGCACTGACCTTGGAGAACTGCGCCGTTACCTTGGCTTGCAGATCTCCAGGGACAGAGCTGCGCGCACCATCACCCTGACTCAGTCACACTTGGTGCGCCAGGTCCTTCAGAGGTTCAGCCTTCAGTTCTCCTCTGCACAGCCCACCCCTCTGCCTGTAGACCACAGGCTCTCCGCTCCAGTGCCTGAGGAGTTGGTAGAGCCCAGTGGCCCCTACGCAGAGCTGGTGGGTTGCCTCATGTACCTGATGACTTGCACTCGCCCAGATCTCGCATACCCTCTCAGCATCCTGGCTCGCTTTGTGGCCACAGGCAGACACCGACCGCAGCACTGGTCTGCCGCTAAGAGGGTTCTGCGTTATCTTGCTAGTACATCGGGCATGGGGTTAGTGCTAGGAGGACGCAGGCCAGCGGTCCTTACTGGGCACACAGACGCTTCGTGGGCAGACGACGCTGAGACACTCCGGTCTACCCAGGGCTACTGCTTCAGCCTTGGCTCAGGTGCCGTCTCGTGGAGAGCTACTCGCTCCTCGTCTGTTGCACAGTCCAGCTGTGAGGCTGAGATCTACGCCGGTGCCATGGCGGCACAGGAGCTCCGCTGGCTGACCTTCTTGCTCACTGACTTAGGTGAGCGACCTAGCTCTGCCCCGGTCCTGTTCGCTGACAACAGGGCCATGATCCTCCTGTGTCAGGAGCCTCGACTCGAGGGCAGAGCGAAGCACATTCAGCTGCGGTACTTCCTCCTGCGTGAGCTACAGCAGCGACGTCAGGCTCGCGTAGTACACTTGGCCTCAGGTGCCAACACGGCTGATATCTTTACGAAGGCGCTTGCGCCTAAAGATCATCAGCGGCACTGTGTACAGCTTGGTCTAGTTCCTGTAGCCTCTCACTTGCTAGGACCTTGACTTTGTACTGTCCTTTATATGTATACACAGACTGGACTTGTGTCCTCTCCCAGTGGCTGGACTAGTAGTGCCGCCCTGCTCTTTGCTTGCCTTGTCTGTACTCCTTCTGACTGGTCGCTCAGACCCTTGTCTCAGAGGTTGGACTAGTAGTGCCGCCCTGAGCTGTTTGTTTAGGACTTTCCCCTATGCAGTCTAGGGGGTGTGTCAAACATGTCTATTTGTTATGTTTGTATAGACTGTATAGGGTAGCCTCTTAGAGGGTACAACACTTAGCTATATTGTGTGTACTCTCCCTCTATCATATTATTCAATTTTCTGATAGGCAGCACTACTAATCCAGCCACTAGAACAAGAGCCACAAGGACAGTCAAGATAATATAAGGAGTAGTACACAATCAAGGTCCTAGCAAGTGAGAAGCTACAAGAACTATACCAAGCTGTACACAGTTCCACATATGATCTTTAGGCGCAAGCGCCTTCGTAAAGATATCAGCTGTGTTGGCACCGGAGGCCAAGTGTACTATAGGGGCTTGGAGGCGCTACTGTAGCTTGCTTAGGAGGAAGTATTGCAGCTGGATGTGCTTTGCCCTGCCCTCCAGTCGAGGCCCCTAACACAGGAGGATCATGGCCCTGTTGCGAGCGTAAAGGACCGGGGCAGAGCTAGGCCGCTCACCTAAGTCTGTGAGCAAGAAAGTCAGCCAGCGGAGATCCTGTGCCGCCACGGCACCAGCGTAGATCTCAGCGTCACAGCTAGACTAGGCAATAGAAGACGAGCAAGTGGACCTCCACAAGATGGCACCTGCACCAATGCTAAAGCTGTAGCCCTGGGAGGACCTGAGCGTCTCAGCTTCGTCTGCCCACGAAGCGTCAGTGTGCCCTGTAAGGACCACTAGCCTGCGTCCTCCTAGCACTAGCCCCATGCCCGATGTACTTGCTAGATAACGCAAAACCCTCTTAGTGGCCGACCAGTGCTGCGATCGTTGTTTGCCAGTCGCCATAAAGCGAGCCATGATGCTGAGAGGGTATGCAAGATCTGGACGAGTGCAAGTCATCAGGTACATGAGGCAACCCACCAGCTCTGTGTACGGACCACCAGGCTCTACTGACTCCTCAAGGCATCCCACGTTCGCCAGCCCCGCGCCCACCAACCCTGCACCTGCTGGCCCCATGCGCTCGCTGGCCCCACGCCTGCTGTCCTCGCACCCGCTCGTCCCGCGCCCGCTGGCCCCGCTTTCGCCAGCCCCGCGTTCGCCAGCCACCTGCTGCCGGCCCCGTGCTCGCTGGCCCCGCGCTTGCCAGCCCATGCGTTCGCCAGCTCCGCGCGCACTGGCCCCTGCACCTGCTGGCCCCACACTTGTTAGCCCCGCGCCTGCTGGCCCAGCGCCTGCCGGCCCTGCGCCCGCTGACCCCGCGCCTGTCTGCCTCGTTGCCCCGGCCCTGCGCTCCCCCCGGTTGCAGCTCCGCCGATCAATGGGGGTGGTGGGGGTGGTGGAGGTGGGGCTGGGGATGGTGGTGCAGTCGAGGGGACCGGGGCTGGTGCCCCGGAACAGTGGCAGCAACAGCAGCCTTAGCAGCAGCTGATAAATGTGTATTATTCTATGGTGTACTTTGCTCTAGCTGGTTGTGGGCTATTGGGTTTTGGGCAAAAGGACTTGGGCTGGTTGGCAAGGTTTGAACTCGTTACCTTACCAACACATACAACCTCAAACCCACTACAACATCTTTGATGTTGCAATCGCGGCACTTGAGAGTGTTGGGGTTTGGTCTAGGGCAAGGGTTGGTGGTGCTTGACAATCACATACTGCAACTTTTCCAGATCGAACTGCTTCCCTTCTCGTTTTTACTAGGTGATTCATGGCTGCCTAGCCAAATTACCAGAATATCCCCTCACACTGATTTCGTCATAATCGGCGGCTCAGATCTTGGTTATGAACGTGCTTTACCATTCTGGAAAGTAGAGATTAAGACCTTTCCAACGCGTATAAGCTCATTTCTAGAAGTTACCTGAGCTGCACGCAATGTTCTGTTGAGATCGTCAAACTTAATCTCTAATTAGTTCTCTCCAGATTTGCACGATTTCCATCAGTGGTATCAGAGCCACGGTTAGAGGACGTTCTTTCCTCCATTGGAAGAGATCTAGAGAGGCTTGAAGTGCTCCAGATCTAGTGTCTGACATGGCCCAAAAGTTGGATGGCCCTCCTAGGTTTACCGGCTCGGACTTTTCGCTATGGAGGTTCCAGTTCACACTATGGCTAGGTATTAAGGACCTAGAAAGTGTGTTGGATGGATCGGAGAAGCGACCACGAGCTGACTCTGGGGAGGCGTCTACTGGAGCAACCAGCCAAGTGGGATCCGAGGCTGGGGGAGCATCGTTGAGTGGGGGGAATGAAGGAGGAACCGCTGCAACTCGAACCGGAAGGTCGCAACCAAGTCGCGAGGAGTTGCTCAAAGCTCAAGAAGCATGGGATCGGAAGGATCACCAGGCATTTCAGTACCTGTGTTGGGCTTTGGAGGGGCAACTTGAGCTTCTTAAGATGCTGATTGACCTGAAGGGGAAGGAAGGTGCAGCAGCTGCAGCTTGGAAAAGAGTGCAAGATAGGCACTTGTAGAAAGGGCTTCTAAGCGTGCTTACTTGGCGGAAGCGGTTTTACACCATGGAGCGGAACTATGGGGAGGGGGAGACCATGGTTCAGTATCTCCAGAGGGTGGATGAGAATGTGAGGGCTTTGGAGGAGCTAGATTACACGGTAGATGAGAAGGAGATCATCTATACTGCACTCCAAGGGTTGGATCAAGCGGCTAATGAGGCATTACTACAGTACCTTCACCTCGAGCAACAGAAATGGACCAAGGTGTGGATTTGGGAGGTTTTAATTTCTGATGAGGCTCGCAAGGTTGATGCTGGAAGAGGCCTAGAAGGAGGCATGGGGGCAGCAGATAAAGCTTCCTTCAGGAAAGGCTATCAACAGCAAGGAGGTGGGGGGAAGAAGAAAGAGTTGGACAAATGCCTTGTGCCCGCCCGCCTGGCCCCGTCGCGCCCGCTTGGCCCCGTCGCGCCCTGCCCGGCCCCGTTGCGCCCGCCTGGCCCCGTCGCGCCCTGCCTAGCCCCGTCGCGCCCTGCCCGGCCCCGTCGCGCCCTGCCCGGCCCCGTCGCGCCCGCCTGGCCCCGTCGCGCCCGCTCGGCCCCATCGCGCCCTGCCCGGCCCTGTCGCGCCCGCCTGGCCCCGTCGCGCCCAGCCTAGCCCCGTCGCGCCCTGCCTGGCCCCGTCGCGCCTGCTTGGCCCCGCCGCGCCTGCCTGGCCCCGCCGCGCCTGCCTTGCGCCCGTCCCAGCCGGCCCCGCGCCCACCCTCGCGACCTCCGCGCCCATCTGCTCGGCCTCTGCGCCCGTCCCAGCCGGCCCCGCGCCCGTCCCGTCGGCCTGGTGCCCGCTGCTTCTGGCCCGAGCTGTGTGCGGCCCGCTCGTCGTCCCTGCCCCGGCCCTGCATCCTCCCTGGTACGGTTCCCCATCCCTGCACCGCAATGCACCGTCCTGCACCGCACTGCACTGCGCGGTACTGCCCTATACCGCACTACACCGCCCTGCACCGCGCTGCACCGCACTGTACAGTCCTGCACTGCTCCTGATGGCGGCGGAGCTTCGCTTCGACGCTGAAGGCCAGCCTCTGGAGTTCGAGGCGTGGCTCGCCGACCTCCGTCACCACCTCACTGGCCATCGGCAGGATGGCCACCCGCTTTCCGCACACCTTGACGGTACGCTCCCCTGCCCAGACCCCCCTGCTGTTCTGCCCGCCGAGCGCGAGTCTACTGCAGCCACTGCCCTTGCGCGCTCTGTCTGGCTTTCTCGAGACGCTGTCGATCAACTTGCCATTAGCAATGCCCTTCCCCCGTCCGAGCGCCCTCGCTTTAGGTCCCTCACTACCGCCCAGGCTTACTTAGATGCTGTCATCAAGCGCTATTCCACCCCTCCTGCTGCCTCGGTGGGTCGCCTGATCCTCCCGATGCTCTTTCCCGACCTTGCGTCTTTCCCCACTGTCTCTGACCTAGCTGCCCACCTGCGCTCGATAGATGAGACCTGGCGCGCTGCCTGCACTGACACACAGCTTAGAGCCCACCAGCCGCCTATTACCTCTACCCTCTACCTGCTTGCCACCCGCCTCCCTGACCGCCTTGCCGCCGCCCGCGACCGCTTCATTAGCATCCACCCCGGTGAGCTCACCCTCCCCAACTGTTATTGAGACCCGCCACCGCTCCATCGCCCAGGCGAGCGGTACCGTCCCGGTCCCTATCTTTCAGGGTTGTGCACCCGCTCAGTGTACCTTTTCCGACGGTTCTGTCGCTGTGGCTGAGACTACTGCTGCAGCGCAGTTTCGTTCGGGGAAGGGCCGCCGCCCAAAGGCTGGGCGCGACGGAGGAGGCGTGGGTGCAGGAGGGGGTGGTGGTGGAGTCGGGTTGTCTTGTGCTGAAGCGGACGAGGGGACCCTGCCCAGTCCAGCTGAGCTGCCGCCTCCGCAGTCGCAGCAGCAGCAGCAGCAGCCGCAACAGTCGCAGCAGTCGCAGCCTCCGCAGCAGCCGCAGCAGTCGCCGCAGACGAGGCAGGCGAGTGTCCTCCCGCCCGGGTGGCCTGGCGCTGGAGGTGGTCGGGCGCGTGGTGGTGTGCCGAGTGGTGGTTCGGGAGGCGTGCGTTGTCAGTACTAGATCCAGACCGGTCCTCGCCGCGGCTTCGTTTGCAGTAAGATCGGTCATACCACTCCCCGCTTTTTTCGTCGTCCTTGGTCTCCCTGGTTCTCTCCCCGCTTTTCCCTCCTCCCCAGCCCCACCTTGCACGCCTTGCGTCGAGGGTCGGCTTCGCCGTGCCCCTCACTCCTCCTCGTTTCCCCCTACCGCCGCGCCGCTGCAGACCCTGCACATGGACGTCTGGGGCCCCGCCCCCGTCCATGGGCCGCGTCGAGAGCGCTACTTCCTTGTGCTTGTCGACGACTTCACTCGCTACACCTCGGTCTTTCCCCTGGAGCGGAAGGCCGACGTGCCTGCTGCTCTCATCCCCTGGCTTGTCTCTGCCCGTCTCCACCAAGGTCTCCCTGTCTTGTGCCTTCACTCCGACCGTGGTGGCGAGTTTGCCTCAGGTGTCCTTGGTCGCTTTTGTCGTGCGGAGGGCATCACCCAGACGTTCACCCTACCGGACTCCCCACAGCAGAATGGGGTCGCTAAGCGACGCATCGGTTTGGTCATGGAGGTGGCTCGCACCTCCATGATCCATGCCGGTGCACCCCATTTTCTGTGGTCTTTCGCTGTGCGCTACGCTTCTCACCAGCTTAACCTGTGGCCACACCCCCAGCAGCCGCAGGTTTCGCCGACCCGTCTGTGGACTGGGTCTCCTGGTAACGCGTCTGCGTTCCACGTCTGGGGCTGCCTTGCTCACGTCCGTGCCTCCGGCACGGACAAGCTCACTGCCCGCACTCTTCCCTGCGTCTTCCTCGGTTTTCCCCTTGACGCGTCCGACTGGCACTTCTACCACCCGCCGTCTCACCGCTTCTTTCACTCTCGAGACGTCACCTTTGACGAGTCCGTCTCCTACTACCGTCGCTTCCCCCACCGCGGTCCCCCGGTTACCCCCCCCCTGTTCCTGGTCACTCCTTCCCCGGTAGTCCCTGCCCCTCCCCCTCCTCCTCCCCGTCCTGCCCCCTCTGGTGTGTCCCACGTCACCCCTCTTCCGTCGGTGGTCCCGGTTGAGGAGTCTTCTGACTCTGGTGGTCCTGCGGCGCAGTCCTCGCTGGCCGCCCCTCCCCAGGCGTCCCCTCCTCCACCGCCTCTGCCGCCGCTGTCGCCCCTGCTATCGCAGCCGTTGTCACCTCCGCCACCGCCGCCGCAGCCATCGTTGTCGCTGCCGCTGCCGCCGCCGTCGCAGCACCCGTTCGTTGACTCTGGGGGGTGCTGGCGTTGGAGTGCGTGCTAGTCCCGGTAGCCCTGGGGGTGGTACCGGTCCTCGACGGGTTTCGGGCCCTGGAGGTGTTCCCTCTGGGGGTGCTGGTGTGGAGTGTGCCGGTGGTATCCGAGGAGCAGCTTGCGGTCCAGGTGTCGGCGTTGTGCCGTCCCAGCAGCAGTCCCCACCGGTGTCAGCCCTTCGCCTGCTCGGCTTTCCCTCCCCTGACCCTGCGTCTGTTCCTCTCCGACCGTCTCCTCCTCTTCCCGTCTACGGCCCTGTGTTCCCTCCGCCGGACTCGTCCCCGGCTCGTCTTCCCCCTCGCTCCCCTCCTGTGTCCCCTCCCCTGTCTCCTGACCCGACTCCTCCGTCTCACGTCTGGTCTCACCGTCCCTCCCGTGCTCGTCCTGCCTCGCCTGTCTTGCGCTCCCACCCTATGTTGCTTCGTTCCCGCGCGTCTCGTCCTCCCCTTCTCCCGTCGCCTCCTCCGTCCTCCCTTGTTGTTGCACCCCCCCCGCTGTCTGACTACCTTCGTGCCGCTCGTCCTCTTGTTCCTCGGGTCCTTGCCTCTCTCGTTACCGACCCGTCTGTTCCGGTCTCGTGCCTTGACGCTCTTGTAGCTGCGGTCGCTGACTTTGCCTCTACCCGCCGCCTTGACTATGCCACCGCTCTGGTCTCTGGCCCTGCCTGTCCTCCGTCTGCCGGGGGTGCTCCTGCCCTCGGCAGTGACGTTCTAGAGGACCGTCAGTTCGAGCTTGCTTTCCTGTCCGAGGCTGCTCCCCATCTCTGTTCCATGCTGCTAGTCCCTGAGGGTGACCCAGACGCGTTCGACATCCCGATCCCTCGCACTTACGCTGAGGCGACCTCGGGACCTTGGGCCTCGCAGTGGATAGCTGCCATGGAGCAGGAGATGGCATCTTGGAGATCCACCGGCACCTTCGTCAACGCAGTTCCCACGCCTGGGGTGAACGTAGTCGATGGCCGCTGGCTCTTCAAGGTGAAGCGCCCTCCTGGAGAGCCGCATGTGTTCAAGGCGCGCTACGTGGCTAGAGGCTTCAGTCAGCGTGAGGGGGTGGATATATTCCAGACCTTCGCTCCGACCCCGAAGATGACTACTCTTCGGGTTCTGTTACACCTAGCTGCTCAGCGTGACTACGAGCTTCACTCCCTCGACTTCTCCACTGCCTTCCTTCAGGGCAGCCTACACGAGCAGGTCTACTTGCGTCGCCCTCAGGGCTTTACTGGCACCTTCCCTCTTGGGACCCAGCGGCTCCTGCGGCGCCCTGTCTACGGGCTACGCCAGGGTCCCCGTGAGTGGCACGACACGCTGCGTGCTACCCTTGCTGACCTGCAGTTCTTTCCGTCTTCCGCAGACCCCTCACTCTTCGTTCGTGCTGGCCAGACTCCGTTCTACATCCTTGTTTACGTCGACGACCTGGTCTTTGCCACAGCAGACAGGGACGCACTGACCTCAGTGAAGGCAGGGCTGCTGAAGAGACACACATGCACTGACCTTGGAGAACTGCGCCGTTACCTTGGCTTGCAGATCTCCAGGGACAGAGCAGCGCGCACCATCACCCTGACTCAGTCACACTTGGTGCGCCAGGTCCTTCAGAGGTTCGGCCTTCAGTTCTCCTCTGCACAGCCCACCCCTCTGCCTGTAGACCACAGACTCTCCGCTCCAGTTTCTGAGGAGTCGGTAGAGCCCAGCGGCCCCTACGCAGAGCTGGTGGGTTGCCTCATGTACCTGATGACTTGCACTCGCCCAGATCTCGCATACCCTCTCAGCATCCTGGCTCGCTTTGTGGCCACAGGCAGACACCGACCGCAGTACTGGTCTGCCGCTAAGAGGGTTTTGCGTTATCTTGCTAGTACATCGGGCATGGGGTTAGTGCTAGGAGGACGTGGGCCAGTGGTCCTTACTGGACATACAGACGCTTCGTGGGCAGACGACGCCGAGACACTCAGGTCTACCCAGGGCTACTGCTTCAGCCTTGGTTCAGGTGCCGTCTCGTGGAGAGCTACCCGCTCCTCGTCTGTTGCCCAGTCCAGCTGTGAGGCTGAGATCTACGCTGGTGCCATGGCGGCACAGGAGCTCCGCTGGTTGACCTTCTTGCTCACTGACTTAGGTGAGCGGCCTAGCTCTGCCCCGGTCCTGTTCGCTAACAACAGGGCCATGATCCTCTTGTTTCAGGAGCCTCGACTCGAGGGCAGAGCGAAGCATATTCAGCTGCGGTACTTTCTCCTGCGCGAGTTACAGCAGCGTCGCCAGGCTCGCGTAGTACACTTGGCCTTAGGTGCCAACACAGCTGATATCTTTACGAAGGCGCTTGCGCCTAAAGATCATTAGCGGCACTGTGTACAGCTTGGTCTAGTTCCTGTAGCCTCTCACTTGCTAGGACCTTGACTTGTACTGTCCTTTATATGTGTACTCAGACTGGACTTGTGTCCTCTCCCAGTGGCTGGACTAGTAGTGCCGCCCTAGTCTTGTTCTTGCCTTGTCTGTTCTCCTTCTGACTGGTCTTTTAGACGCTTGTCTCAGAGGCTGGACTAGTAGTGCCGCCCTGAGCTGCTTGTTCAGGACATGCCCCTATGCAGTCTAGGGGGTGTGTCAAACATGTGTATCTCCTATGTTTGCATAGACTGTATAGGGTCACCTCTTAGAGGGTACAGCACTTAGGTATATTCACCTGTACTCTCTGTCTACTCGATTATTCAGTTCTCATTCTAACACGCCTACCAACTGCTAGCCAACCCTCTATTCTGTCGGGTCCTCTCCCGATATAATCGGTCTACTCTGCGAAAGACTAAGTGGGCAGGAACGGGGCTCCGATACCAGCTGTTATGAATTAATCAGAGTAATAACATTTATTGTAATAAAGGAGTCGTGATTCAAGAGTCTCGATACACACGAGGGCCTAGGCATTTATTGGCAGGAATCGAGCTAGCTGAGAACCGCGCGAACAGGTTGGGGTGATTCGGTTGGCGAAAGCCACTGAAGCGCTGCGCGTCGAGGTTTGGGTTCGCCAAGTGGTTCTGGACCGAAGAAGTTGGCCGAGCCTGGACTTCCGAGAGTCGAGGGCGTACGCGCTGTAGTCTAGCCCAGTAAGGAAAAGGGAATTCCTTACAGAGGCAGTGAGAACAAGAGCACATTGTAACATCAAGTACCTATGACGTTACAAAAAAGCAGGTTATGTATACAAGGATTTATTGCCAAACAAAGGGAGACATAGCCACTGGTATCAACTGCACCACGGACAGGCACGACCAAATGTGGGTCACGATTTCACACACACCCGTATGAGGTGTGGCGGCAGCGGCATACTCCGGAATCCAATGTTGAATGTGCCAGAACCCCAAGTCACTCCTCCCCACCCCAAACGCTGGAAGCTGAATTTGTCACACCCCATGCCACCATCACCCCAGATGTAAGTCACTCTTCCCCACATCCCCACATCACACCACCACGCCAGTGGTGTCAGCCACACAAGACAGCCCATCCAAGGTCGGCACATACCCCGGGTCACAATCACAAGACACGCTGCGGCCAATCCCAAACCAGCAGGTGCCGTGCCCGCCACACGGCGCCACGTCAGCGCCACAGAACGCCTGGCAGGTGGTAGGCGAAAGCTGGGTTTCAATCCTGGGCGCGAGCGCGCACGCACTGGTACTGGAGTACTTGACACAGTTGTACGCGAGAGACGACTGGTAGAAGACGCCGTTGCGGGTCTGGTCCTTGGGGCAGTAGGGAGAAATGCCTGCAACAACGGTGGCGGGCCCATTGAAGTAGTTGTGGTGGATGTTGATCTGCCCCGCAGTCACTATGGTGGAGTTGAGGAAGCCCGAGGGGAGTGGGCCGGAGAACTGGTTGTCGTGCAGGTTGCTGTGGTGGTTGGTTGGTTACGTGGGGTGGGTGGGGGTTGGGAAGGTAGTGGGGAGCGATTTGAGAGGGAGCAACAAGGGATGTGGAGGGTGACAGGGGAGGACATGCAGGGCAGGGGTTTAGACGGAGGAGGACAGTAGGCACGTGGGACAATACAAGCATAGCTTGGTTCATGTCAGCACCAGAGCTAGTGTTCTTGGCTCAAGTGAACCCGAATGAGGGGGAGTGAGGGAAGGCTCACAGGAGGTTGAGTTTGGGCAGAGTGAGGAGGCCCGCAGGGAAGCTGCCGTGAAAGCGATTGCCCTCCAGATAACTGACAGTTGAGGTTTGCGGATGGGGACAAGACCATGGGGGCATTCAGCCATGAATAGATGGGGTGATACGAAAAGCTAGACGTAAGAAGATGGGCCAATGTGAAGACAGGGAGTGATAACATGTGAAAGGATAATACATGGTCTGTAAATGGACCTGTAGGTAGAAGATGGAATTGAAGCAAACTAAAGAGTTAAGGCGTGGAGAGTAAGGCATGTGAGCTTTGAGAATTTCCAGAACTCGACTAGGTTACAGCAAAGCAAACTTTCTGGCACAAAATCTAGGGCACTACTTAAGCTTACAGCTCAACAAGCACCACTTGGCTAGACTTACAGCACTGTGAGCGCGTTGAGGTTGCTGATGCCCTGCGGGATGGAGCCGGTGAATCGGCAGTTGTCCAGCAGACTGGGGTGGGGGAGAAGGGGAAGTGGGTGCGAGGTGGGGGCAGGAAACCAGGAAACATTTTAGTCAAGCAGACTGGAGGGGGAGGGACGACAAGGGGGGGGGGGGGGGGAGGTGGGGGCGAGGTAGGAAGCAGGAGGTACTGGGGAAAATTGGCATGAATCAAGCAGACTGCTGGGGTGTGAGATGTTATAAGGTGAGGATAAGCACGTAAAGGCGATGGTATGCATGAGTTGGTGTTAAGGCATAACTGGTGAATCAACAGTAAGCCAGTGTGCAGGAGCGGGATGCAGAAGGAAGCACAGGGTGGGGGAAAGGAATCAAGGCATGGCAGGCAGGGGACTGACATGCGGGAGAGTCTAGTGAGTTTGGTGATGGAATCAGGGATGGTGCCGTTGAAGGCTGCAAACTCCATCACACTGCAGCCCAGGGACGGGGGGCGGAGGCGGAAGGAGGAGGGGAGAGGGGGACGGGAGGGGTGAACGAGAAGAAGGGGAGGGGGGGAAGAGGGGCGAATTGGAAGCTGCAAATTCCATAATACTGCAGCATAATTTCTTTTGGGGGAGGAGGGGGGAGGGGGAGGACGGAAACGGAGGGAATGGGGGGAATGGAGAGGTGGCGGGAGAGGGAAACAAAAGGCACAAACGGCGGGATCAAGGGGGTAACAGTCCGAGCATAGAGCATACTCACAAGTCTGTGAGGCTGACCATGTTGCCCAGGTCAGACGGCAGAGGGCCGTCCAGATAGGGGTTGCTGCTCATGAAGCTGATCGGGGAGGGGGGGGGGTGGGGGTGGGGGGGTGGGGGGGAGGAGCGAGGGAGTGAGAGAAGTTTGAGCTAAGGTGACTCTAGGGCGAGGGCAACCCAGATAGGGGTTGCTGCGCGTGAAGCTTACAGATTGGGAAAGAGAAGGGGGGAGTAAAGAAGGTGATGCTGATGATGCTGGCGCGTGGGGAACGATGAGAGATGGAAGTGGAGAGCGGGGAGGGGAGCGGTGGGGAGGGGTGGGGAGGGGTGTGTCATGAAGCTGGTGCATGGTGGGAAACGAAGGGGTTGGAGAAAAGGGGTATGAGTGGATGGGGTTGAGGATGCTCATGTTGCTGATGGAAAGAGGAGGAAAGAGGAGACGGGGAGGGAGGGGGGAGAGGTCGAGAGGAGGTGGGGGAGGGGGGTGGTGCCGCTACTGAGATTGATGCAGGTCAGAAGTAAGTGGCAGGAGGGAAGAGTAAACCATGCTACAAGCACACGCAGCTTGAAGAGTTGAGCGGCTTACTGGACTGCTTACCGTACTGTACTGGGTAAGCTTACAGGATGCGCAGGTTGGTGAGCTTGGTGATGGTGGGGGGCAGAGGGCCGTTGAGACTGTTCTGGTTGATGAATCTGAGGGTGGGGGTAGGTGGGGGGAATAGCAGGCGAGTTCTGAGTTACCTTGCGGCAGAGGGCTGTTGAGACTGTTCTGCTTGATGAGCCTCAGGGTGGCAGGGTGGCGATGGGAGAGGGAGGTATTCGTGCGTGGAGCTGTGGTGAGCACTAGCATAAGTAACAAGGGCATTCGCGAAGAGAATGCATTGGCATGAAGAGGGGGTGGCTAGCGGAAATGGGAGGTCGCAAAGGGCGTGATTTGCGAGAAGGGGGCTAGCAGGCGAGGAGCCTCACAGGTTCTGCAGGGCGGGAAGGGAACCGATGGTAGCGGGGAGACTGCCTGTGAGCTGATTGGTGTCGATGTACCTGATGGTGTGGAGAATGGGGAAGAAAAGGGGGGGAAGGGAGGGGGAAGAGACGCCAGGCTCGGATGCAAATGCTGTTGTACGGATAAAGCGTCCAGAAGCAGCAGCGCATATTGGAAGATGGCAGTGAAGGTGGAATGTCCAGGGTGCCTCACTCACAGGGAACGAGAGTAGCAGATGAAAGAGAGAGGATCGTTGAAAGAGAACGTACAGGTAGTAGAGGTAGGAGAGGCTGCTGAGGCACGAGGGCACGGAGCCAGTGAAGCGGTTGTAGCTGAGGCGACTGGCGGACAGGCGGGGATAAGAGCAGAGAGGAGGGACGTACTGAGGGGTATGGGCAGGACGTGAGGAGGGGGACAGGTAGGCGGAGAGAGGGGCAGCTAAGAATAGGCTAAAACCGTGCGAGCAGAAAGTGCAGCCAAAAGAGTATTCTGCTCCTGCCAGACGTGGTCTAAGCGCAAAGCAAAGCAACATGCGTAGGCAGTCCAAGCGAGTCATTCGCTGCGTTTAGTTCGTCACCCAAGGGTATTAGCCTGCAATGCTTACAGCTCTCTCAGATTCTTCATGGTGCAAACGACCGTGGGGAACGAGGTGTTGAGCATGTTGCTGGACACATAGCTGTTGCGGGGCATCGCAGGGAGGCGTGACGGAAGGATATGAGGAAGCGTGGCACGAGGATATGACGCAAGGAAGATACTACTCTGGAAGGATACAATGCAGGGGACGTAGGGGAAGTAGGGGAAGTGGTTAAGTCAAGCGGATGGAAGGACAGACGCGGGTGGAAGGTACGAGGCGGCCTTGAACCAGTGGTATGACTCACGGACAACCAAAAGCCTGAAACCAGCTGAAGAGAGCGGCCTGCCAACCTGACCAGTGTCGTATGCTTTTTAGACCTGGCCGTTTAGACTCCTCGCAGAGACACAAAGTTCCCAAGGTCGGGCTTCCAGCCTGGTAGAAAACGTACAATTTCTGCATGTTGGTCAGCTGCGAGAAGGTGTCGGGCAGCCCGCCTGAAAAGTAGTTAAGGTTCAGGTGCCTGGAGCAAGAACGGATGTGGGCAAAGAAACGCAGAAAGGGACAGAGAGGAAGGAGAAACGGAAGGTGGTTTATTGGGGGAGGGAGCGGATGACTGAGAGGAGGCGATGGCAGAGAGGAGAGGATGGCACACTGGATGTGGATGTGGTGTGAGTTTTGTTTATGTGATGGGCAAGCACAACCGAAGGAATGGCATAACTCTTGAAAGTACGGCATAAGACGGCATGGCATGACTGTTAAAAGTACGGCTCACAGCTGCACGAGGTTCTTCATGTTGCCCCATGACGCGGGGATTGGACCCTCGAAGTAGTTCTTGAACAGCTGCCTGCAAGGTGGTGGTAGGCCGGACAGGACGGTGAGGCACGGGAGGAAAGAGGGGAGACGGAGACAGGTGCGAGATGAACAGGAGAGAGGGGAAAACAGCGAGTTGAGGACAGTTAAGGACTGGCTTTGCGTGTCGGTAATCTATGGCACAGCATGACTGGGCGAAGTAAGAGTTCGGCAGGGTTGTGCGTGATTGCATAACGACATAGGCCGGGAATGCGGACTGACAGGTTCTTGATGGCTGTGAGTTGACTGAACGAGTCGGGAAGAGGTCCCTGCAGCCAATTGGTGGTGGCGAAGCTGGTGGCGGCCGAGGGAGAAAAAAAAAGGGCGGGACGAGAGGGGGAGGGGGGGGGGAGGGAGGAAGAGGAGAAAAAGGGATCGAGATGATTGTTTGAGAGGGAATGGATGGGGGAAGGAGAGAGCAATGAGAGAGACTGCAGGTAGGGAGCAACGATTCTATTCTTGACCCAGCCCAACATTATCTAAGGAGTCCTACTGCCGCCAATCCATCCCAGCATCCACCACTATTCTATCCCCTTCCGGCCCTTTCCGTCTCCCTGGCTCCCCCCATCCTCCCCCCTCTCTCATGCGCATCCCTCCTGACATCCCCATCCCCCGCATTCCTTCCCACCATCCCTCAAACCTCCCCTCATCCATCTCTCTCCCATCCCACCTTATCCCCCCCTCGCGCTCAACACATCACCGCATTCCCCACTCCTTACCTCAAACCCTCGCCCTTCCCTCCCTCCCCGCCACTGACAATTCGTCGAGGCTGGTGAGGTTGCCGATGACGGACGGCAGGTTGCCCTGGATGGCCTTGGAGCTGATGTCCATGCGCCGCACCAGCCCGTTGGTCCAGCACGTGATGAGCCACCACGCCGCGCATGGGTTCGTGGCCGTCCAGGACGTGAGGTTGATGTACGGCGTCAGCGCCGCCTTCAGCTCCATCATCGCGGGGACTGGAGGGAACGGAGGGGGGATAAACGGGGAAGCGGGGCAGAGGGGCAGAGGGTTGCGGTACGGCAGTAGTGAGGTGGTTGTCAATGCACGACGGTCAAATGTCGGCGGACACCACGCGGCGTAGGGGTTGGAGGCCGTCCAGGACGTGAGGTTGATGTACGGCGTTAGCGCCGCATTCAGCTCCATCATCGGCGGGACTTGAGGGGAGAAAATGGGTGGGGGAAGGTGAGAGAGGGGAGAGAGGGCAGAGAGGGCTGAGAGGGCTGAGAGGGGGAATGAAATAAACTGGCGGATATGAGGTGGTTTTGTACAATCCATGACGAGCATTGGTCGTAGCATCCAAGGCGACTTGGTTGGCGGATGGAATCACGTCTGGTTTGAGGTCAGAAGATTGAGCTATTGGCTATTGGACGACCGTCACCTGGCAGGTGACCGGAGATCAGAAGAAAGCACGTTGGGCTAAATGGACTATGGCCGCTGCGTTGTGTGGAACGTGCAATGTGATGATGCTGGGATGCTGTAATGTGAGGCGATGATGTGAAGGTGACCATGAGGGGATGGCGGAATGCGTGACAGTAACGCATCCGGACAAGCGGCAGTCGCTAAAGTCTATCTGCTTACTCTGCGACGAAGCGACATAGACTACAGTCGTCTGAAGCTTGCGCGGGAGGGCAGCCGATGTCATGGATGCTGACATCAGCAGCGACAGGACTAGAACGAGAGACATAGTAGCGGCTGCTCTCCCTGGAATCTGGAGGACGAAACACATCGTGGTGACTGGGAGTTAGAATGTAGCCGCTCAGGGTAGCTATCCACTTCTGGCTTTAGACGCGAGAACTATGCACGAGACTCTGGAATAGCTGGCGCGGTGGTGAGCGCTTCGTTCACCAGCAAACAGGCCACATATGATGAAACCACGGCAGTGAATGCTGTAGCAAAGTCGTCTGCATTTGTATGACCTGAAGGTGGAGCAGATTTGTCATGAGCAGCAAGAAACAGACTGGCAGGAAACACTTCCAGTCAGACAGGCAGAGGAAGGGACGGAGGCAAGGCGGTTTCTTGGCCCTGTTTGTTAGCAACTGAGTCTCGTGGCAACCTGCAGGCAACCGAGTCTGAAAATAGATCGCGCTGGCAGGAAACAGGTTCGACACAGCGCACTCATAAAATTCTGAGAAGTCTCCAGCTTCCAGCAGCAATCCTTCCTTCACGCCGCAACCAAGCAAAAATGGCGAAGTCCTCCACACACAGACTTACCGTGCTCCTCCCACCCACACCACCCGAAACCCAGAATTTTCGGCTAAGTCCGTCACAGCCAGGAACATTCCTCCCTCCCAAACAGAGATAGTCCTCTACTCACACCCACGAAACTTAGAATAATCGGCTAGCCCTCATTGCAGGAACATTCATAACATTACCCTATGACATAGAGAATTTGGCTAAGTCTTCCTAACACAGAGATACTCCTCCCACCCCGACCACCCTAAACCTAGAATATTTGACGTCCCTCACTTTCTGGCAAATTCCTCCTACTGCCCCCGCAAGCCCACTCAACTAGGAAGATTTGGCTAAAAACGTTTAGCCACATACCCCTCCCCCCCCTTCCCGCAACCCAGAAAGTTGCGAAGGTTGCTGACACAGATTCTACCCTACTTTAGCGGGTTTGTCAGAAAACTAGCGAAAGAATTAACACTCCTAACATAGTAAGCCCAAAAGTACTCTCTTTTCTTGGCACGCCGTAAATAATACTCTGTCTGGACCTTGAACATTGTGACATGTCCGAGTCAGTGTTTGCTATAACTCGGCTAAAAGCAACTTTGTACCCAAATCCGGATTAAACAGAAATAAACTACCATGAAATCTGGACGAATCAGGGTGCAGTCGGGAGCGGAATCGGGGAAAACGAGAGTTCCAAAATAACCTTAGCGTGAGACCTTGGTTCGACAGAACAGAAATCGTGCACAAGTGTCAGGCTTATGGGCTGGCATTGGAAGGGAGGAAGAAAGTCAGGGGGGTATCCAAAGTGCCCAGCGACATGCGACGACATCCATCTACATCACGGATGTCGACACACCGATCTAGAAGCTTTCTGTACCTCTCTAAAAGTTGACTAAATCGTAATGAAACTACAGTACCTTGGATGTCGGTGGTCGACGACGACGACATCGGTACTGTTGATGCTTCGTCCAGCGTGACTTGAATGCACCAGCACAGTACTGTACTGTAGAAATGTACACACTTCGCTCTTATCGCCTGGGCCGTCGGGTTGCGGGCTACGGTATGCACAAGTTGTTAACCTTGTCCGTAACGAGATCACCTGAGGACCAGGTTAGGCATTTCCAGTGTAACGGACAAAATGAGAAAAACCCGCTTGTGACGTATGATCAGTGGTCAGGTCACACACCGAAACAAGGGACTGGAATACTAATCAGTTATACTTCAGCTGTGCATTGCTTTCGACTTAGGAAAAAAAAAACAAGGGTGCACCATGGACGTCTAGAAAAAACCAACAACTGTGAGCCTGCTTTCAGTATACATCCTGCATTGCAAGGGTGAAGTGTCATGCACAAGGGGATTCAAATAAACCCTCTAGATGTTGTGCCTAAGCACTTCAAAGACAGTTGCTGGTACTGATGTCCACAAACTCTCATTCATTGCTGCTTAGTGCCTCGTGTATTGTGAGAAACCATGAAGCCAGTAGAAAAAGGAACCCAACAGCTGTTGAATATGGTGAACATCTCATAAAATAGTGTGTGTAGGAACTACTATCAATGAGCCAACACTTGACTCGCCCTGAAAGCTCCTTTAGATATCATACTCGGTTGTGGCAAAAGACACCTCTTCAGCGTACTTGCTGACAAGTGACTGGTAAGCATCAACTTGGCCATTATCATAGTCGCCCATGGTGCCTGCACGTGCAATAGAAGCCAATGTGGGGTCTCAGGAATAAGAAAGGACGTGTGAACCGATACGACACCGGGAACGGGTGGATTCAGTGCAAGGAAGAGGAAGATAAGCACCTGGTTTCCACATGACGAACACACTGGCTCCGACTTCTTTCTCCGCGTTCAAGAACCGAATAGTGTATGTAGGAAAGTCGCCTCGCATGGACTTTCCCGTAACCAGCCTCGCACCAGAAACCGAGCTCAACAGGAGGTGAAAGTCCACATTTTCCTCTGCCTTGATGACATTGGCATACTCGCCTTTGCCTGGCAGTGTGTGGTAGAAAAGACCTTCTAGAGTCGTAACTGACTCTAGCACGCCCATTCCAGTGTTAACAATCAGCCGGACCTGCAATCTTAAGGAGAAAAACATTAGCGAAGGACAAAGTGGCAAGCAACCGCGATAAACCACACGCACCGTCACTGGACACTTGCCCTGCCGACGTTCTTCAAATCGCTGAGGAATTCCTTCAAGTTAGCGGTCGCTCCTGTGTCTGCATCGAACGTGTCAGTAGAGTTGGACGCCCTGATGGGGACCACTCTGGACTGCCTTCCGACGGAAAGCTTGGCTAGTTTAACGGGTTTTGCACATAATCGGTGAGACTGTGCAACAGATACGACGACATTAGGAACAACAGCCGACCATGTCAGAGTCGAGGCAGTGAACGCCATGTCTGGCAAGGCTGTGAAGCTGGAATCAGCAAATGTGAAATGTGAAGTTGGAAGCAAGTGAAATGAAATGAGCGTGTGTGTGCTGACTGTTCAAAACAGATTCTCCCGACAAAAACAAACTTTCATCACCAAGCGCACAGCGACAATTCGCCAACAGCGTAACATTCGTCGACAATTTCGTCAAACACGGAAAATCATGCCAAACATATGGTTACCTGGTTGGGGAAAACGGTTACCACATTTGGTTCGGATATTACAAACCATCACATGCCGAATCTACCTGGCAGAGCTACATTATCGCTGGCCTGCGTGGCACACGAACGAACCTGCTGTCGTCCTCCGTCAAACCCATCCTGGAAAGGTTAGCCACAAGATCATGCATACGTGGCGGGCATCTGCTGGAAGCAGCTTCCCGTCCCCCTCCATGCCCCCAGCATACCTGGTTAGGGTTCCATCACGTCCTCCCCCTCCTTTACTGGGTCTTCCAGAAATTCCAGTTTGTTGGAACCCAGGGAGCACTTCGTGTTAGATCTCACAGCTTTGCAAATAGGCGGCCATTGCAATTTAGACTCCAAGCAGCGCAGCTTGCAAGCGCAATGGCTGCCATTGCCCAGTCTGCCATTGTCGGCGCGATTTGCGGTCCCGCTGTCGCCTCAGCGGAGGTTTCCAGCAGGACCAGCATTGTCTCTTTCAATGGTCTGAAGGCCACCTCTCTCCGTCAGTCTGTGAAGGCCTCCCTCTCGCAACGCGTCTCGTCTAAGCGCGCTGCTCGCGTTGTGTGCGAAGCCACTGGCACCGAAGGTCCGTAACGTTTAAAGTGGGTTTTCAGCTTCGTCTGTTTCCACGTGTCAGTCAGTTAATTCTGGTGTTGTTGTCTTCGTCTGCAGTCGCGGGCCCTGTGACGGATGCAACCTTCAAGAGCCTCGTTCTGGAGAGTGATGTTCCAGTCCTGATCGACTTCTGGGCCCCATGGTGCGGCCCTTGCAGAATGATTGCTCCCCTCATCGATGAGCTCGCGAAGCAGTATGCAGGAAAGCTCAAATGCTACAAGCTGAACACCGACGAGAGCCCCAACGTGGCTACAGAGTACGGCATCCGGAGCATCCCCACTGTGATGATCTTCAAAAAGGGGAAGAAGGTCGACACCGTCATTGGTGCTGTTCCTAAGTCTACCCTCACCACCACCATTGACAAGTACTTGTGAGAGCTCATTTGAGGTCTCGCGTACTTAGAGCTCATCTTCATGTGGATGTTAACCTGCGAATTTTTTTCGTCAATTGTAGTAAATCCAGCCTCGCTCTGTGACCTAGAAGGTTGCAACGAAAACTCGCAGGGTAGAACCCTTTAGTTCTATCACGCGGTTCAGCTAGCTTGTTACAGATGTAACCTCCACTTGGTGAACGTGAGGAATTTTCCATTCCTAATCGTGCCACACCGCTAATGTGTACACCAGCCTCACCCTGCACCGTCAACTGCCCTAGCTTTGGCCCAAACATGGCATCAAACCAAACCATTTCTGCTTGACTCCGAAGCGCTGTTCTCAAATGCCTTCTTCGATGTTGGAAATGATAAAAATGCAACCACTGGGTCACGAGTCCTAACCACTGGGACAAGGGATGTCATCAGGAGGGTTATGCTCCATAGATCCACCTTCACTAAGGAGAGCCTCCTCAGTACCCTCCCTAGAGATAGAGAGGATTGACTGTTAACGTAGAAACGAATGATTACTAGAGGTGGAAACCTAGTACAAATACTAGTTGGTTGTACTCACTAGAAGCATACCTCAGTCTAGCCTATAACTTCTACATAGATAATATGTATAAGTTGACACACCCCCTAGGCTAGACAAGGGGTGAAACTAAACAAGAAGCAAACAGCTCAGGGCGGCACTACTAGTCCAACCACTGAGGCAGGGGTCTGGAGACCAGTCAGCAAGAATACAACCAAAACTGAAGCAAGCCAGGGTGGCACTACTAGTCCAGCCACTGGAGGTAAGGCCACAAGGCCAGTCTGACAAGCATATATAATAGAGAGTACACAAACAGGATCCTAACAGGGGAGCAGCTACAGGAACAAGACCAAGCTGTACACAGTGCCGCTGATGATCTTTAGGCGCAAGCGCCTTAGTAAAGATATCAGCTGTGTTGGCACCTGAGGCCAAGTGAACTACGCGGGCCTGGCGGCGCTGCTGTAGCTCGCGCAGGAGGAAGTACCGCAGCTGGATATGCTTCGCTCTGCCCTCAAGCCGAGGCTCCTGACACAGGAGTATCATGGCCCTGTTGTCAGCGTACAGGACCGGGGCAGAGCTAGGCCGCTCACCTAAGTCTGTGAGCAAGAAGGTCAGCCAGCGGAGCTCCTGTGCCGCCATGGCACCAGCGTAGATCTCAGCCTCACAGCTAGACTGAGCCACAGACGACGAGCGAGTGGATCTCCAAGAGATAGCACCCGAACCAAGGCTGAAACAGTAGCCCTGCGACGACCTGAGCGTCTCAGCGTCGTCTGCCCAAGAAGCGTCTGTGTGTCCAGTAAGGACCACTGGCCTGCGTCCTCCTAGCACTAACCCCATGCCTGATGTACTAGCAAGATAACGCAAAACCCTCTTAGCGGCAGACCAGTGCTGAGGTCGGTGTCTGCCTGTAGCCACAAAGCGAGCCAGGATGCTGAGAGGGTATGCGAGATCTGGGCGAGTGCAAGTCATCAGGTACATGAGGCAACCCACCAGCTCTGCGTAGGGGCCACTGGGCTCTACTGGCTCCTCAGGAACGGGAGCAGAGAGCCCATGGTCTACGGGTAGAGGTGTGGGCTGTGCAGAGGAGAACTGAAGACCGAACCTCTGAAGGACCTGACGCACCAAGTGTGACTGGGTCAGAGTGATGGTGCGTGCTGCTCTGTCCCTAGAGATCTGCAGGCCAAGATAGCGACGCAGCTCTCCAAGGTCAGTGCAGGTGTGTCTCTTCAGCAGCTCAGCCTTCACAGAGGCCAGTGCGTCCCTGTCAGGAGTAGCGAAGACCAGGTCGTCTACGTAGACAAGGATGTAGAACGGAGTCTGGCCGGAACGCACAAACAGTGAAGGGTCAGCAGAGGACGGAAAGAACTGCAGGTCTGCTAACGTGGCACGTAGCGTGTCGTGCCACTCGCGGGGAGCCTGACGCAGGCCGTAGACCGGGCGCCTGAGAAGCCACTGGGTCCCAGGAGGGAAGGTACCAGTGAAGCCCTGTGGTCGGCGCAGGTAGACCTGCTCGTGTAGGCTGCCCTGAAGAAAGGCAGTAGAGAAGTCGAGGGAGTGAAGCTCGTAGTCACGCTGTGCTGCTACGTGTAGCAGCGCCCGAAGAGTGGTCATCTTCGGGGTCGGGGCGAAGGTCTGGAAGAAGTCAACCCCCTCGCGCTGACTGAAACCTCTGGCCACGTAGCGCGCCTTGAAGACAGGCGGCTCTCCAGGGGGGCGCTTCACCTTGAAGAGCCACCGACCATCGACTACGTTCACCCCAGGCGGGGGAACTGCGTCGACGTAAGTGCCGGTGGATCTCCAAGATGCCATCTCCTGCTCCATGGCAGCTATCCACTGAGAGGCCCAAGGTCCCGAGGTGGCCTCAGCGTAGGTGCGAGGGGTCGGGATGTCGAAGGCGTCTGGGTCACCCTCAGGGACTAACAGCATGGAGCAGAGATGGGGAGCAGCCTCGGACAGGAAAGCCAGCTCGTACTGCCTGTCCTCTAGGACGTCACTGCCAAGGGCAGGAGCACCCCCGACGGACAGAGGACGGGCAGGGTCAGAGACCAGAGCGGTAGCGTAGTCAAGGCGGCGGGTAGAGGCGAAGTCAGCGACAGCAGCGACAAGCGCGTCAAGGCGCGAGACAGGAACAGCAGGGTCGGTAACAAGAGAGGCAAGGACCCGAGGGACAAGGGGACGAGCAGCACGGAGGTAGTCAGAGAACGGAGGAGGTGCAACAGCAAGGGACGAGGGAGGAGGGGACGGGAGGAGGGGAGGACGAGACGAGTGGGAACGGAGCAACATAGGGTGGGCGGGCAGGACAGGAGAGACGGGACGAGCACGGGAGGGACGGCGAGCCCAAACGTGAGACGGAGGGGTAGGGTCAGGGGACAGCGGAGGAGACACAGGAGGGGAACGAGGAGGAAGACGGGCCGGAGACGAGTCTGGCGGCGGGAACACAGGACCGTAGACAGGAAGGTCAGGAGGCGGTGGGGGAGACACCGGCGCGCGGTCCGGGGAGGGAAGGCCGAGCAGGCGGAGAGCGGAAACCGGCGGCGACGGCTGCTGCGGCGGCGACGACGGCTGGGCCGGAACTCTCGGACCAGCAGAGGCAGAACGACCGTCGGCAGAACACTCAACAGCAGCACCCCCAGAACCAACACCCCCAGAGCGAGAACCCCCTCCAACACCAGCGGCACCCCCAGAAGCCGCAGGACGAACACCCTCCTCCACACCAGCACCCCCAGGGGCCGAGAGCAGCGGCGGCAGTGGCGGCAACGGCTGCGGCGGCGGCGACAGCGGCGACGGCTGCGGCAGCGACAGCGGCGGCGGCGGCGACGACAGCGGCGACGGCTGCGGCGGCGACGGCGACGGCGGCGGCAGCGGGGTCGGCGACTGCGACAGTGGGGGCGGAGGCACCGGGGAAGGGGGACGCTGCAAGGACGGACCGGGGGTACCACCAGAGTCAGCAGACTCCTCAACGGGGACAACCGACGGGAGGGGAGTGACGTGGGAGACACCAGACGGGGCAGGACGAGGCGGGAGAGGGGCAGGGGCTACCGGGGGAGAGGGAGCAAGGAAAAGGGGGGGGCAACTGGGAGACCTCGGTGAGGGAAGCGGCGGTAGAAGGAGACGGACTCGTCAAAGGTGACGTCACGAGAGTGGAGGAAGCGGTGAGACGGCGGGTGGTAGAAAAGCCAGTCAGACGAGTCCAGGGGGAAACCGAGGAAGACACAGGGGACAGTGCGGGCAGTGAGCTTGTCCGTGCCAGAGGCACGAACGTGAGCAAGGCAGCCCCAGACGTGGAACGCAGACGCGTCACCGGGGGACCCGGTCCAAAGGAGGGTCGGCGAAACCTGCGGCCGCTGGGAGCGTGGCCACAGGTTAAGCTGGTGAGCCGCGTAGCGAACAGCGAACGGCCACAGAAAATGGGGGGCATCGGCATGGATCATGGAGGTACGGGCGACCTCCATGACCAAGCCGATGCGGCGCTCAGCAACCCCATTCTGCTGTGGCGAGTCCGGCAACGTGTACGACTGGGTGATGCCCTCCGCACGACAGAACTGTCCAAGCCGACCAGAGGCGAACTCGCCGCCACGGTCGGAGTGGAGACACAACACGGGGAGACCGCGGTGGAGACGCGCAGCCACAACCCACGGGAGAAGAACGTCGGGCACGTCGGCCTTCCGCTCCAGGGGAAACACCGTGGTGTAGCGCGTGTAGTCGTCGACAGCACAAGGAAG